TGAGCTGACTTTGAATTAGTCCCGGTTTACTTTTTAATCAAATGCGGGACAAGCACGAGAAAATAAGAGTGCCGACACGAAACACAAAAAATAATTAAGGGAAAACACGAAGCACGCACATCGAACCAAACACGAGAAAACGAGAAATAAAACGTCGAAACACGGAAACACGTGAAATAAAAAGGCCGAAAACGTTGCACGAAAATAACCCTTTACCACCCTCTCAAAAGGCCATACTAGATGTCGACACCTCATATTAGAACTTAAGTAGATGGTCAATTTCGTTTGCAAGGTTAAAGAAATCTTCAACTTGCTCTAATTTGCCTGTGAAGACCATAAAATCGTCATCCCTATTGACAGTGTAATTTGATGTTTTCTCTCCATTGGAACTTATCTAAAAATTTTAATGAATAGGGCAGAGAGATGCAGATCTGTGCATGTTGGTGACAATGGTCGCTCGTATAATGTGTTTGTATAACAGTCCATTAAACTCAAATTCTTTTCTAAGAATTAATTTAACAAATACAGTTAAATCTTTTTTGTTGAGAACCTTTAAAGTATATTCTACTGTGTGTCAATAAATTCTAATGCATTGATAACAGTTTCTTCTAAATTATCAATAATCATATTTGTGTACATTGACGTACATCATAGGCCATAAGAATGCATACTTTTTTACTTCGTGTGACTCTATTTTATTAATGAAATTTTTTGTATCTTGAATGTAAAAGTTATGCCTCTTCAATAATTGGATGTTGGATGTGTACTAATTAATAGTTTAGTCTTAGATGCATGATTTTTTTAATTAGTTGTTAGTGGCTTTGAACTAGCTGTCAGTAACTGCGAGTACTCTCAGATCTGTACTTAGTGTCTATTTGTTGTTGGGATATACAAGTACCCGGCCACGTCCACTCTGTGTAGTATTTCTGTTTGTATCCATCTGATGAGTTAAGCCTTTTTCAACTGATTTTTATAGTTCATTCTTATGTTGTACTGTTACACCACTGTCCCAGGTTAGGGGGAGGGTTGGGATCCCGCTAACATGTTTGACCCCGCCACATTCTGTTTGTATGTGCCTGTCCCAAGTCAGGAGCCTGTAATAACGTGGTTGTCATTTGTTGATGTGATACATATTTGTTTTTCGTTCATTTTTTGTACATAAATTAGGCCGTTAGTTTTCTCGTTTGAATTGTTTTACATTTGTCATTTCAGGGCCTTTTATAGCTGACGATGCGGTATTGGCCTTGCTCATTGTTGAAGGCCGTACGGTGACCTATAGTTGTTAATTTCTGTGTCATTTGGTCTCTTGTGGAGAGTTGTCTCATTGGCAATAAAACCACATCTTCTTGTTTTATATTTATAATTAGATCAAGTAAGTATCTGTCCTGCTAGCTGACCAGTTCGCAATGCCTCATTACTTATTTCTAGATTAGTTTTATGAATTTTTGGAAGAAGGTACATGTGTCCTCCATGTTTTGAATTATTATTATTCTTTTAGAAATTATACGTCTGGAAATCTTTTTTTTCTCTCTCCTTGCTTTATATTTAACACTTCTCTCAACATGCCAAAATTGTAATGATTTACAATAAAAAGAAAATAGTATCCTCCACACACATGGCCAAGATAACACTGATATATAATTTCTTATTCAGTTGAATTAATAATTAGAATAAAAAAGTTCTAAGGTTCACGTATTGTCTTTTTTTTTTTAAAAAGCAACTTGTTTCATATGTTTGTTACTTAGGTGTAAGATAACGAATTGTGTATGTGTGTAGCTTTGTGTGGATGGAGCTGTGATCCCGTAGGCTGGAAAATTTACCGGTAAATGTTTATTCATGTGAAGAACGTTCTGAATTGTCCTTGCTAACATGCTTATCTACGATAAAATTTGCATAGAATTATTTCTTATAAGTTAATGTATGCAGTTATAGTTCCAGTAAGATTCTTCTTCATAAGTGAACAGATTTTTTTTAAATAATCCTATTGATTCATAACACAGCCGTCTTCCTCTTAGTAATACATGTATATATATATATATAAGTTCCCAAAATTTCTGAAATGATAAGTCTGAAAGTCAAATCTTTAAAAATGAAACTGATTTTTTTCCAATAATATAGATATTACAAATCATCAACAATCAAACAGTGAAAGTTTCCAGTCAAATGATAGTTTCTGACATGCGTGTAAATTCAAAGGATATTACTCATTGGACATCAATAATAGCGGTGTTCCTTTGCTTTTTGTGTGTTTTTTTCTGTGCATGTAGTGATTTTATGTCATGGAAGTAAACCCCATATCCTTTGTTTTCTATTGAATTAAACTTTTTAACTGTGGCTGTGAATAACACTCGAAAGTGCAAATGCAGTCGGAGAAGACCGTTGACTATTTTTGTACTACGGTCAACCCATTCAATATAAAAACAAGTTGCTTTCTTTAAAAAAAGAAAAGCAATACGTGAACCTAAGACAGCTGACTGGTCATCAAAAGATTGTTGCTGAATTTTTGTTTGCTTTTGAATTGAAATAATTGAATGTGAATAGAAGGAGATAATGATGAAGTTAAACTACCTTTATTAAAAATATGTAATAGTGTGTACATTCTGGCACAAGTCAGTTGAAAGCAATGTTGGATAGGTGTGAATAGAAAAGTGTATATACAGCTACTATTTGAATATACATTTTAAAGCTCAACTATTTCATAAATTTTATTACTTGGGATTGCACATCATTTTTTTATAATCCTATTGCAAATCCCAGTTTCTACAAACCGGATGTATAATGCAAATTGCACAAACCAATCGCAATATAAATTTAAGCACTCAGTTTGCTTTATAATCTGGATGCATTTATTTTATCTATCACATCTTTATATTTTGTTTCCTGCATGGATGCCTTCATATTCCCATCTCGTTATTGAAGTTGTCTGTACTCATGGTAGATGTTGTACAGATAAATTTAAAGTCCATTTTCCATGTGAAGTGAAACCCTTTGGCATGCAACTTATAAGAAGGTTTCGTATATTTTTCTTGAGAGTAACACACAGGCTTCATTTGGACCTCTTATATAGAGACTTATTTTGGTCTCTTAAAACATCTCAAATTTTAAGGATTTCCTGATTTTACTTAAATCAATCCAAATATTTTACAGGGAAACTTGGTTTTGAAGAATATCTTATTTTCAGAAATTTTATGAATACTTGAACATACTCTCGAAAGAACCAATTTATATAAAAAGACATGTAGATATGAAAAAATACCAGGATTAACATGTACGCCAGACGCGAGTTAAGTCTACAAAGAATCATCAGTGACGCTCGATTAAAAATAGTTAAAAAGGCCAAATAAAGTACGAAGTTAAGTAATCTATTCCTTGGGCATTTCGAAAATGTCAAAGTTTATAAAAGGACAGTGACTCAAAAAGAAAAAAAAAAGAGAAACAGCTAGAGGTCAGAATACCGTAAGCAATGATGACCGTGCTTGAAAGTCACATGGCAAGCTCTTATTGCCGTGTCCTGAATTTAGATAAGAAAAGCGAAAATTCGCATTCGCGAGTGAAATTATTATTTATGCATGAACGTGGTATTTTTGCGCAAGAAATAATTGATAGAAAGCATACGCACTGATACTCTGGATAAGAATACGCATTTGCGTCATCACATATATTAATCTTATAGTTGAAATCGGATGTCAAACTACCTACCACAAGTGTTTTGACTCCGGATTCATTGACATTTTATCCGTTTTTTTTGTGAATGCAAACCGATAGTGTGCGTGTGAACAGGGTGATATATAATGTAAATGAATCAAGACGTGTAGGATAGCTGACCAACACAATGAATACAATTTTCAAAACCGTACCATAGTACAAATATGTAGATGCTATAAGGTTGAACTAATAAAAGAAAAAAAAATTTAAAAAAAAATTAACATTATGATAGTAATTAAATTTTGTTATGACTATTGTAAAATATTAATTACGTTTTTTGTGAGATGCAAGGATTTAAAATCCTTGTGAATTGAAACCACGCAAGTATTCCATTCACGACCGTTTAAAGTTTAGATATTTAGCTAATTTTGGATACGCATCCCTGCTCATTGATGCTCATACGTTACATATAATTTTCATAAATGTAATGACTGATCAAACCTGTGAGACATAATGCACGTATACATTACAATTTTAATTATATTCTATAATTATTAGGAATAAATTCAGTCTCAGTTTTACCTTAACAATGAATATTCTCTTAGTCTGGTAGTATCTATTACCATATATATATATATTTTTAACAGAAATATCGTTTTCTTAATTTTCTTCATTCTTTCCGACATTTTCTCATGCTATGATTGAATTACTAAATATCAAATGATAAACGTTCAGAAATAATCTGTTTATTCTGGGTCATTGTATATTTGATAAACATTCACATTATTAAAAACATGTATGTTTTGTCAAAAGGCAAATAGGTTCTAACATATAAATGGTTTTTAGAATGCAACCTAGTCTTTATTGTTTTACTTTCAAATCTACAAATCAACCGTTTGTCGGGTTGTTGAAATATACAATGTCACGTTGTAGCCTATCCATAGAAGGACCATATCAAAGACATAGATAACTACCTATATAAATGATGGAAAATTTTCGAGACGTTCCGAGAATCGTGATTCCGAGGATATCGAGTGGCCCGCCGGCCATAGACACTTCCAAAACTCGCCAATATATAAGCGTGAACCCCTAAGAGGGTTCACGCAATAAGGAGATGTGGTATGATTGCCAATGAGACAACTATCCACCAAAGTTTAAGTGAAGTGGATGTAAGCAATTATAGGCAACCGTACGGCCTTTTTGATTGAACATTACTGTACTATTAGTGTTCATGTTAATGTAATATAGCTGTGACTTGACCTTCAGGTCAATAATTAGTCACAATCGATCTAGTTTATACAGAGTTCGTATCTATATTGATATTCCTATTCTATATTTTTAATTCGTATTTTTAGTTTTTGATAGAGTAAAACTGACACGGAAAGAAAAGTACGAGTTCCTGCTTGCAGTCAAAAATAAACCGGAAGCCGATGTTATTACATTTATAAGAGAGCATCCTTGGGTACTATCATGCATGTTTTGGTTTGGTTAGTATATCTAGATTTAAGCCGTGATAGTTCCATTAGTTTTTATTTAAAAAAAGATTATGATTTAAGTTATGTTCCATTGATTACTTCTTCAATTTTTTTTTTCACGCTTAAAAATTAATCATTTATGCTTGCGTGGTACGAAAAAAAAATCAATTCAAACGAAAAAAAAAAATCCCCTCCTCCCCCATATCGACAATGTTTTTACTTCAAGTCGTAGTAATGTTTCTCAGAACTTAATTTCGTGGTAATGGTTAACCATCTCCGAAGACATGCTTTCTTAGGCGGACGGTTTATAGTGCTTGGGGAGTCCGTCCATTCGTCCGTCTTTCTGTCCCACTTTTGTATCCACAACCCCTCCTTAACCGCGCGCTTGACAGAATTGTATGACATCCACAGAATCCTACTCACATAATGTACTTGTACACCTTCTATTTCATTTCTTCATCTTAATGATTTTTCAAGTTATCTTTGGTCTGACATGAACTTCGTCACATTTGCAACCCTCTGACTATAGTACAGAGATTTGTACCTGTAACTCCTTCTAAAGTCCTTATCACAATGTTTGGAAATTTTCTAATAATCTTAACCATATAGTGCCATTGTGCACCTTCAATTTTTTTTTTATCAAAATTATTTCTGGGGTTACCCTCAGCAAAACATGGACTATGCCATTGCGTTATTTGGGGATGAGGGTTTCTATTTTGTATCCACAACCATTTTTAACCCCCTTATTATCACAATTTATTCACACAAACTTAATCATATAAATGCTATCATGACTATTTCCTTGTTTAATCAGGATCATTTTTGAGGTCCCCTAAGCAAAATAATGGATTATGTTAGGGTCAGGTGTATGCTTTTGTGAGCTTTGTTCGCAGTCTCCCAAGACTATCAGGCTATTTGAAATCGGAATGACTAATTAATTTCGGACACATTCACAAAACTTCAGATAATACTAAATTTCAAATTTCTTTCACTCATGCAGTATGACTTATATTTTATCTCTCTGTAGCTTTTTACAAACAAATAAATTCTTCGGGCTAAGATAATAAACTAATGTCAAAAATAACATTTCAAAAACGCTCCTCAATTTTAAGAAAAGGAGAACACTTACATTTAGTTCGATGTACTGACATTATGATCAGTAGATGCTGATGTAGATATAAAAGTGATCAAATCGCTCTTTTGTTTTTTTCCAGACACCTACACTTGTACTAAAGAGAAAGGAACTAAAACTGAGCATGTTGTGAACTGCTCCTGTTCACAAGATTTAGAAATATGTACAAAAGAAGGTATAGATGAAGATGAAATGATAAATAGACTAGAAATAAGCATTGCATATGGTACGTGTCCACACCTAATATTTGCCAAATACGGCCTTAGTGTTTCATGTGAGCAGGACATCACATCAGCTGATGTTTTTAATGTTTGGGATACCAGTGATATGACGGAGAATGTAAGACATTTGTCTAGACCTAGTGCTGGTGTATATTTAATCCATTTACTAATACTGTACTGCAAATTTAAAACACTTACTGAAGTTTTACCTCTTTATACTACATTGAAAATGAAAGTTGAGGACATGGTTTCAGTAAAGCATCAGATGTCTCCTGTGCTGTTTGCAGTTGCACACTATAGGATTTCTATGGCAAAGATGATTGCACAATATTTTTCACAAGACCTAGTGGTCCGTGAACCATGTAAGGTAGAAAATGATTACCTACGCCATGGCGCACTCTACATCGCACTGATGACGAATCAATTCAGTGGATTCACCATGCTTTTACCTTTTCATTACGATTACTTCTATTTTAGTCATTTACGGGAGACTTGGCAACTATGGGCCGAGAAACTTGGAAAGTGCATTGAAGATAAAAGGAAAGTGGAAGCAGACCTTCTTCTGTCGCCTAAAAGGATATCAATTTTGGGATATAATTATCTCTTTCATTATGCATACCAAACAGGTTAGACACTAACACTTATAACTGTTACAGTATAACAGTGTAACACCTAGAATAACAGTTGGTGACCGAATGCACATACTTGAGTCATAATATAAAGTTTTATTTGAATCAGATACATTTTCAAATATTTGAGGGTCCCATATGCAAGAGATTCTTGTATTTAAAAACGATAATGTATGGCTTTAAAATCTTGCTGTTGTTTACAATGCTACTCTATAATGTTTCTTTTCATATCTTACCACCTTCCCTTTGTTCGATGCCGTTGTTGTTGTTAGTATACATCCAGTTGTCAGTGCTTTGATACGATCCTGATTTAGTTGGTACATTCGTTTTTTTTTAATTTGTGTAACTGTACTCATACTTAGATAAAACAATATTCACTTCTTAAAATGACTCTAAACTATTTATAGTGGTCTTTGAATGCCATTTTTGATATTGACACTGTTTGAATTTTCAAAATTGTTCTTCAGCTTACCAGTTTTGAGAGAGGCTAAAGATACCAGATAGAGGGACATTCAAACTCATAAGTCGAAAATAAACTGGCAACGCCATGGCTAAAAAAAAAAGACCAACAGACAAAGAATAGTACACAAAACACAACATAGAAGACTAAAGACTGAGCAACACGAACCCCTACAAAAACTGGGGGTGATCTCAGGTGCTCCGGAAGTGTTAGCAAATCCTGCTCCACATGTATAAGCTATGCCCAAAGATTTGCCATTATCACCATCAATGTGTTAAATAATAACATAGGAAATGTTTCCAATGTGTCAGGAAAATATTTGAATTTAACGCAAGACAGAGGCCAATTCCCTTTGATCTTGCTGTGCTATAATCCCGATAATACACAGATCAGGTGTTTATTAACTATATCATTCATATTGTACAGGTCATGTGTAAGCCAAGCCAACATTTTTAGTGAACAGTATACGTAATTTCCGTCTGCTAATTCCATTCCTATTACCGATATTTGTAATTCTACACTTTTTAGGAAATATCAAGTGAATACATGAACCTATACTCCGACCTACAAATAATTGTAACTTGATAAAAAAAAATCGTGAAAAAAACATACAAAACAAATTAAGTAAGGGAGCTACCATTTGATTTTTATGCGGCTAGGATGAAAAATTTTCTCCTGCATTTTTTTTACTTGTAATCTCTGTCCTGCCTTTTTATTTTTCACTCTATTCGATCCTGCCTTTTTTTATTAGTTTATCCTGACCATTTTTACATAAATTGTCATCCTGCCTTTTTTTTTTAACTCAAAACTCCTGTCCTGCCTTTTTTTCAAATTTCATCTTAGCCCCTCCATAAAAATCAAATGGTAGCTCCCTTACCACCTTCCACTTGTTCGATGCCGTTGTTGTTGTTAGTATACATCCAGTTGTCAGTGCTTTGATACGATCCTGATTAAATTGGTACATTCGTTTTTTTTTAATTTGTGTAACTGTACTCATACTTAGATAAAACAATCTTCGCTTCTTAAAATGACTCTAAACTATTTATAGTGGTCTTTGAATGCCATTTTTGATATTGACACTGTTTGAATTTTCAAAATTGTTCTTCAGCTTACCAGTTTTGAGAGAGGCTAAAGATACCAGATAGAGGGACATTCAAACTCATAAGTCGAAAATAAACTGGCAACGCCATGGCTAAAAAAAAGACCAACAGACAAAGAATAGTACACAAAACACAACATAGAAGACTAAAGACTGAGCAACACGAACCCCTACAAAAACTGGGGGTGATCTCAGGTGCTCCGGAAGTGTTAGCAAATCCTGCTCCACATGTATAAGCTATGCCCAAAGATTTGCCATTATCACCATCAATGTGTTAAATAATAACATAGGAAATGTTTCCAATGTGTCAGGAAAATATTTGAATTTAACGCAAGACAGAGGCCAATTCCCTTTGATCTTGCTGTGCTATAATCCCGATAATACACAGATCAGGTGTTTATTAACTATATCATTCATACCGTACAGGTCATGTGTAAGCCAAGCCAACATTTTTAGTGAACAGTATACGTAATTTCCGTCTGCTAATTCCATTCCTATTACCGATATTTGTAATTCTACACTTTTTAGGAAATATCAAGTGCATACATGAACCTATACTCCGACCTACAAATAATTGTAACTTGATAAAAAAAAATCGTGAAAAAAACATACAAAACAAATTAAGTAAGGGAGCTACCATTTGATTTTTATGGGGCTAGGATGAAAAATTTTCTCCTGCATTTTTTTTACTTGTAATCTCTGTCCTGCCTTTTTATTTTTCACTCTATTCGATCCTGCCTTTTTTATTAGTTTATCCTGACTATTTTTACATAAATTGTCATCCTGCCTTTTTTTTTTTACTCAAAACTCCTGTCCTGCCTTTTTTCAAATTTCATCCTAGCCCCCCATACAAATCAAATGGTAGCTCCCTAAATAAAAATACATTTTGTTTACTCAAGTTATATTTTGTTTTATCAATATTGCCAATGAAAAATCCTAAATTACATGAATTAAGTGCTTGCCAGTTGGGGTGAATAAAAAAATACATTTTTTGATTATTGTCTATCAATTAATCATTTTGATTAACTGATAATTTTGAATTTAGGATAATTTAATGATTAACCATAGAATTTCCAAAATTCAAAGTGATTCAAGATTCACCGGATACCAACAACAGTGTTAGTTTTGTATTAAATTGATCCAAGCATTCTAGATCTAGTGCTTGACAAGTAGAGTATTACATTTTCATAATCTGACAGTCATAGTACTATAACTTTGGAATGACAAGTCATAACTTTTCAAAATCAAGAAGTATATTTCAGGTTTAACCAAACAATTTTAAAATCAAAAGCAATTTTTCTTCTGTCAATCTTAATGTGATGTTTAAGGTTTGTGGGAATTGGTAAAAGCAAGTTTTATTGTAAAAAGTGTTAATGGACAAACTTTTATTTACCATAAAACTTTTTATTTAAGACGGGCTTATACGACCACTCTTATGAGTATATGGAGCTTACATGTACATTGTATCGATAAAAAGCAATTCAGCATTTCAAATTTTGATACATGTATCTATTTCAGGTTGTTATTCAATTTATTATACTGTTTTAAAGGACGAAAAGTTTCATCGACAGTTCCTGAACAGAAAAAAAGATTTTCTTATATCAGAAACATTAAATGAAATGATGGTGAAGGCTGTGTTTACAGGAGATCCTAATGTTGTTCAGCTTTTTGCGGATTATGGATTTAATGTCAATGCAACTTTTTGTGAAATCACAGTCCTGAAATGGGCCGAATATTTGGCGTATGGCGATGTTTGCAAAGTTCTGGAATCGAGTAAAGCCTTTCGAAAAAGGTATAATGATGATTCCTTTATGATTTGCTTCATTAAAAATAGTGTATTCAACTCTACATGTCCATTCAATGTGCCTATTGACCCGTTACCAATTATTCACCAGGCATGTGAAAGTGGTAATTGCTCTGTTTGGCCATTTGATGCGCTTCAGTTTGCATTCAACTACGAACAGTATGATATTGTAAAATATCTTTTATTACGAGGGTGTGATGCTTCATGTATTGTGGAAAACCTCGTACATAAAGAAATACCTGCATTCGTATATTTGGTAATAAGATCAAACGCAAAAATAAAGTTAAATGCAATATTAAAGTTGTATACAAAGGGAATATATCGACATATTATAAATACTGGTTCAGAGCCCGACGTTCTTGATATGATTGACTGCGTGCTCAACCCTCAACTGCACAGGGTGATGCAAGCGCGTAATATACGATTTAAATGTAAATCATGTGGAAAGGACTTGAATAATCAGATCGGGACTAAGTACAAACAGCAAGCTTAAAGTTATTTTTATTTGACATTAGAAGAAACGGTAAACATTTCTTGTAACATGAATGGTAATTTTTCTTTTCTCTTTGAATGAATTAACTTTGTTATTTTCTGAATGATTTTTTAGTTATTGCACTCTCCAGTCCTGCCGTGTGTGTCATAGAAAAAACATTGAATGGGAAGATCTTCGACCAGTGCTCTAACTTCTATCTCAAAAGTTGTTATTTCACTGTCTAGCTCCGTCTCATTGACCTTGTAAACTTGTAAACAATGAAATCAATGACCATAGAATGTCCTAAAATTTTTAAACAAAATGCATTTACAACTATATATATAATTATATATATTTACAAAAATTGGAAAGGGGATGGGGGACTTATCTTAGGGCTAACGCTAGCCAAACTTATAAACCTGTTCCTAAATTAAAAATGTTTCCCTATACTTGAAACAAATGATTGCACTAGGAAAGCTACAAAAAGGAATAACGTGTAAAATTGAGAATTAATATGGGGAATGTGTCAAAGAGACAACAACCCGACCATAGAGCAGAAAACAGCCGCAGGCCACCAATGGGTCTTCAACACAACGAGAAAATTCCGCACCCGCAGGCGAGCTTCTGCTGGCCCCTAAATGAAAATGTGAACAAGTTCAGTGAAAATGGACGTAATACTAAACTCCAAAATATATAAATGAACTAAAATTAAAAATCTTACAAGACAAACAAAGGACAGAGGCTCGTGACTTGGGACAGGTGCAAAAATGCGGTGGGGTTAATAGATATAAGAAGATGTGGTATGAGTGCCAATGAGACAACTCTCCATCCAAGTCACAATTTGTAAAAGTAAACCATTATAGGTCAAAGTACGGTCTTCAACACGGGGCCTTGGCTCACACCGAACAGCAAGCTATAAAGGGCCCCAAAAAATGACTAGTGTAAAACCATTCAAACGGGAAAACCAACGGTCTAATCTATATAAAAAACGAGAAACGAGAAGTACTTATGAACCACATCAACAAACGACAACTACTGAACATCAGATTCCTGACTTAGGACAGCTGCAAACAAATGCAGCGGGTTTAAACGTTTTAATAGGTACCAACCTTCACCATTATCCGAAACAATAGTGTAACATCACAACATAAAACATGTTAAGTGAGATCTCAATCCTCCCCTTTACCTCTAGCAAATGTAGAAAAAATAAACAAACAGCAAAACGCACAGTAAACCTCAATTTTAAAGCATTACTGACATGTCAGCTCCAGACCTCAATTAAACTGATTGAAAGATTATGTCTTCATCATATGAAAATCAAGCACAATCGCTCCCGTGGTCTATAAACGAACAGCCAATAAACATGTGAACGAATTGGTGAATACTTGTTTTTATCGTGTCAAGCAACAACCCATCTATCATGTCTAGTAATCGATCATTTTTACGCTTTTGAGGCAGAGTACCTTGACTATTATTTTAAAAACTTTC